GTGCATTTGCTGGTGTGCAAGTTTCAGAAAAGACAGAGAAATTCCACTATAAAATTTGATGGGACTTTGAACTGATGTCTTTGCTAACTTGATCATTGTGGTTGCAGTGTGCCTAAGGGTAGAACAACCACACTCTTGATCAATCTCTGCTGATGTACATTGTGGCAATCTCTTGGTCCGTGTCTCATATCATAGAATAAACAGAGAGCCGGCATGTCTTCTGGCAGCCTTGTATTTGCATGACGTGTTGAGGTTCCGTCCAGCTTAAACCCAACCCAAGCCCCAGGCGATAGCATAAGTTCAGTTCGAAGAGCAGAGCTGAGCAGTTTTTTGGTCCAGGCAGTCTCAAAACTGGAAAGCTCCGCTTTTCAAAAAGAAAAAAAGAAAAAGAAAGAAAGAAGGGAAAGCGCCGATTGCAAAATCGCCTTGCGCCGTCGCGCGCCTTGCCTTGGAAGGAACCAGTAGATGCAGATGAATTCCCATAAACCACCCTACCCGTGGGCGTGAGCCCTGGCGATACATAAACACATCGGTCGATCCCCAGTTTCACGTCTGGATCGATCGTCGCTTCTGCCTCTGCGTATGCCTTCATCGATCGAGTTCAGGCTGTAAGTTATGGGAGCTAGCTGCTGTTGATCCCATCTCTCTACCTAGAGTCGACATCTCTTGATCCTTACTAGTTCGATCGAGTTCATCCACTCGGCCGGTTTAGTCTTATAATTGGCTTCTTTCAATAGTTGTGTCGATCGCTAGTAATCTGAACAAGGTTCCTCGCCAAGCCCCCCAAGCCATGCATGCTTGTTCCTAGTAATTTACTAGTCGCTCTAATTAGTCCTAGCGGGATGTTTTTACTCTTGTACGTGCAACACATACGTAATCTACTATCTATATTCCTCCAAATTAATTACTGATATGACGGGTTCTCTCATTCGATAGATGAAGCTTTTTGTCGAAACCCTCACCGGCAAGACAATCACCGTCAAGGTCGACCCGTCGGACACCATCAATGTTGTCAAGGCCAAGATTCAGGACCAGCAGTGCCTTACCTTTGGCGAGGAGGAGCTGGAGGACAGACGCACCGTGGCCGATTACAGCATCCAGGATGAATCCACTCTTCACCTTGATCTGCGCTACGAGAGAAAGCGGAAGCAGCCAAGTGTCGTGCGTGGTGAGCAGCCCAAATCTGCAAAAAAGAAGAGAATAGAGTATCAAATCTTTCTCAAAGGGCTTGTAGACAACACCACCGCCCTTGAGGTTGCCCACTCGGATACCGTCAGAAGTGTCAAGGAGATGATCCGGGACCGGCAGGGCATTCCCGTGGACGAGCAGAGGCTGATCTATGCAGGGAAACAGCTTGAAAATGGTCGCACCATGGATGACTATGGCATAAAGAAGGAAACTACACTTCACCTCTTGCTCCGCCTCCGATCATGCGGTCCTAATAATTGCCCAAGAGTACCTATCCCAAGAGTGGTAACCTAGTTTTCCTTCCCGTCTGCTTCTATGAGAAAGTCTACACGCTAGTGATTAATTACCAAGCACAATACACCCTCTATGAACAGTAAATTCAAGACAAATTCAAAAAAAATCTGAAACTTTGGGACTTCAAATATGATCAGACTTTCGATGATCTGGCAAAGTTTCAGCTGAAAATAACAATCGAGGAGCCCTCACCTAAACAAGCAAAATCATTGTTCAAAGTTTATGTACACTTTTGAGGAGTGAATTTTTTTTGTGAGGGCTCCATGGAGGTTATTTGTTCCTGAAACATTGCAAGAACATCAAATCTTTGATCATCTTTGATCACTGAAAGTTTTAGATTTTTTTAATTTTTTTTCAATTTTTTTACGAAATTACTGTTCACGACGGTGTAGGGGCACCTGGGTGCTGTTACACCTTTCTCCACTATACATATATAGGTACAAGACGGACACAAATTTCCGTTCCTGAGTTAGCATGTCATGTTAATTTTGATGACTTGCCTGACTAAATTAAGCCATCTATACACATAGTACATCTAAATACATCACAATGGAAACATATATAACCCGTGACTAAAGCGCATAGCACCTTCAGGTGTAGTTAAGCAAATCTACTTTCTCAGACATTGTTTTATTCATAAATGTATTTCCTTTCATATCAAACAAATCCTGCTACTAAAGTGTTGCGGCATCTGCTAGCAGCCCCGTCAAAGTGAGCCAGGCGAAGATCAGAATTCTCATGCAAGATCCTCCACTGTTATCACTGCTGCTTCTCCTAATGTCAAGCACCGTGAAAGCAAGATTCAGAGTCCTATTGATGTTGCCAACCTGAGGAGGAGCCCAAGATCCAACAAGTATGATGGCTTTAAGGTGAACCTTCAATGTGATAGCAGAATCCAGAAGCCCAACGTAAAGAAGAGATCCACTCCCTTAGCAACTAGTGCTACCAAGAGCGAAGCCAAGGAAATCCCTCCCCCAACTCCTATCCCAATCATTCAACACTTTGGCAGCAGTGTCTTGTTTGCGATCAGGAGTGTATGGAATATCAGCTTCGGAGCACTCCACAAACAAGTTGTGGGCTAATTGCCTAATATGGAGGAAGATGGAGATGGTCCTTCTACTACCAAATAACTTGCTAGTACTTTCTTACTGGTATTTTACTTATGGCATATCTTAAGACCTCAAATACTTTTGTGTTGGAATATTCATGGTATAAATTTGGATGATAAACATGTTGCCCGTCGTAATCTTTGTATTTATTTACTACTAATACTAATTAGAGACTCACTAGAAATTATCTCGTTAATAAGAAAAGAAAGAGAAAAAAGAATGGGACTCCCTAAAAATTCCCACATTAATCAGAAAAAATAGAAACCATTAATCTGGTGGGATTAAATTATGACAGTGTAGATTTATCGTAGATCGGTTTAGATTTATTGTAGGTCTTTGGTCATTTTTTATTTTAGGGATAATTCCCCTCAGTGCGGGTTTATTAGGTACCTTCTTATTTTGAAATTATTTAATTAGTTAAATCTAAATTATATGTCAAAAAATAGAAATCTCTGTCGAATAAAATCCAACAATATACTTTTTGTAGCATGTACTAGATTTGTTTTGACACAAAATACTAAGGACCTAATCAACCCGGATAGAGGGTGTAGATCCCTGGACATATTATATGGGGGTCTCTGGAGTTTTATTTTCGTTTTTTTAGAGTGTGACTTTTTTCTTTACGCTGGTTAATACGTATATTTACGTGACACTATTCGCCTTCTCTGCTGGCCCAAAAATATAGCAAAATTGTCCGATGGCCTGCTCGTGGCAGGAATAAGGCCCAAATGTTGATGCAGGGCCTAGCTGGCCCAGCTATAGAAAAGACGAATTTTCAGCACCTATGGTCGTTTCTTGCCTCTGGCACTTATACTAGTACCAAGTCTTTTTTATAATCAAATTAATTGGGGGTGGAGTCTATACTCCTGGCTGGGGTAAATTTTGGAAGATCAAGGTTCCACGTAGATATCTACAGTAGTTTTTGTTTGGCTTGCTGTTAACAACAAGATTCTAACTTAGAGATAATCTCAATAAGATCAGTCAGCCAACCTTGCGTTTGTTGTTCTTGAGGCCAGCATATGCTCCACTAGTTCTTCATCGGTGGTCTTATAATTCTATTAGAGATTGTTTTCTCTATTTTGACAGTTGTTTTAGAGAGTGAAGTTTTAGGGAATCTACTGAAAAATGGTATAGAACACGGTAAAGTTACTAGCCGTTTTGCCCTTGTGCTAGAGTGCTATAGTAGGGAGAAACAAGTAGACCCCCTAATCATGTGAGCAAAAAAATATAAGCTCCACCGCCTCTGCGTTCCCGGCCTCCGGGGGATAGACTTTCCCAACGAGGCAACGACTTATGGATCCACGGTTTGTGCGGCAGCAAGTGGTTGCCCACTCGCCATTGATATACGTATTAGCTTCCATAGTTTCTCTAGGTTGGTCAATTACGCCATTGCTCGTGCGTGCACAAATCTAGAGGAACGCATCATGCATGCATGCACCGTTCAATTACTGACGGACGGGTAATATATCCGGACCAGAAAGCCTAATCACCAGATGCATGCATGGTGCATGCATGCACGTACGAACGCAGACTGCTGGACGGCCGGATTAAGTAAACTTTCCAAAAGTCCACTTCCCTTTTAACAACTCCAAGCAACGAACAGTTTAGCCTTAGTATCCATTCGTTGGCGTGCATATGGAGCTTGATCTTGCCCCTCTTGGACAAGTATTCAGTTCTACTCAATTGACCAGGTATTTAACTTTTACCTATACCTTGGAGAAGTCGCACGTCTAGCTAGTTTTCTAGCTCTATAAATACCACCAACCTCAACTCACACAGGCATCACAACCTACCGGCCTAATCACACACATATCATCTTGTGCAAAGATCGATCAACTAGCGATGGAGTGCTACTACTCTTCGAAGCTAGCCTGGTCCCAGCTGGTCCTCGCCTTGGCCATGGCAGCCGCCATCACCTCGCCGTGCGCTGCCCAGAACGCCCCGGCGGACTTCGTGAGCCTCCACAACTCTTTGCGTGCGCTTGTCGAAGTCGGGCCGGTGACATGGGACACCACGGTGGCGAATTACGCGCTGAACTATGCGAACCAGCGCAAAGCCGACTGCAACCTGGTGCACTCCGGCGGGACGTACGGGGAGAACATCTTCTGGGGCTCCGCCGGCGGCACCTGGACGGCGTCGAGCGCCGTCACCATGTGGACCGACGAGAAGCAGTTCTACGACTACGCCACCAACACCTGCGCGACCAACAAGGTGTGCGGCCACTACACGCAAGTGGTGTGGAGGTCCTCCACGTCCATCGGCTGCGCCCGCGTCGTCTGCGACAGCAACCGCGGCGTCTTCATCATCTGCAACTACAGCCCGCGGGGCAACATCGCCGGACAGAAACCCTACTAGCTAGCTACATTTATATATATGCCTTAATTTCTTCACGCATGTTATGTTGTTTGACAAAAACAATGGGGGTAACGCATGCTCATGAATCTATTATGATTCATGCATGTACGTACTTATGCCCCATGGAATAAGCTCTGATCTATTATTGTTCTTATATAATCTGGTAAACTAATATGTTGTTTGTTGTACCTTAATGCAATGGTGTGAGCTCTTCTTCATGGTCTATGATGGACAGCAAAACGTTGCCTATGCTAATTTTTAACGTCTCTTTTTTTTTTGTAAATAAAGCTCGGCTGTCACTTAAAAGTGCAGATCACTTTGCAAAAATTGAGTTTGTAAAAGGATCGCAAAATTGGTTTGCAAATCGGGCAAATCTTTTTTGTTTAGATGTATGTGCTTGACACTCCGTGGCTTGATACAATGTAATCTTTAATGAATTCTAAAAAACCGCCATAGAAATGCAACACCACTCTATCATAGAAGTGAAGTAGGCCATGCCTCGACACAAGTTTGTCGTAGAATACGGGATACTATCGGAAAGGGTAGCGGTTTTAGCCGCACACGTTTGTACCTAGGTTATATATAGAGCGAGAAGGGGAAGATGGTCCTTGGCCCCTTGGATGTTCTTTCAAATTTCAGCCAACACTACCTAACACTGGTTCAAAAACAATCACCTAACACAAGAATCCCAATTGTTAAATTTGCTTTTTTACATTTTAAAGAGTAAGAGAAAGTTGGTCCAAAAATCTAAGAAGATTATAGATATTTCATCAAGAGAGACTTGGCAAGCATTCATTGCGTATTATTTTCAGTCTTTAGAGCAACTCTGTTAGGTTTCCCAAAATTGCCACATCTGTACCAAAACAGCTTTTTGTGTGAAAAAAAATAGCTTTTATGGAGATTAGGGAATCTCCAATAAATGATGTAAAATACATCACCGAATTATACTTCGAGTAAATTTACATCACCAAAAAAGTGGGCCTTTACATCACCATAAATCTCTAACTCCAACAGACGATGTAAAATAGGGCACTAGTGCTCCAATAAATGATGTAAAATAGGGCAGCTGCACAACCGCCGCTCCACAATTTCAAAAATATTTGAATCAAAATCATCTCAAACTAACCTTTAAACAAACATAACAGTAATTTCATCAATGCACAACATAAAATTGTTACATAATTCATCAATCTACGACATCAAATGCAACACAAATACAACAAAGTTCAACACGCAATACAACATAGTTCATGCACAGTACAACAAACATAGAGATAAAACTACTAGTTCTGTTCCCCATGCCATGCCCACCATGTCGTGCTCTGTGCCTCGTCGCCCCTGCCGCCGCTAACCCTAGCTCAAAGTGGCCCAAATTCCCCAATCCTCAAAACAAAATACAACCGCACCACCAGTCAACACTATCAGTGGCCGGCCCACAAGTCAGGTCAACAATCCCGGTTGACTACTGCCACGTCACTGTTTTTTAACCCAAAACGCTGTCAGGGTTCATTTGGACCGAGATTAGTGAATTGGGTGTGCTGATTTTCGGGATTTGAAGTTGAGGGTTTGATTTAGCTAACGCCTACGAGTTCAGCGTTGATTTTGGACTTTTTTTCCCCGAACATCACGCGCGCGGCGCACGGCTCACCTCAACAAAGGCGAGAATCCGGATATGCGACCGCACCAATGCGTCCACGCATCATTCCCCTGATCGCGACCCTCGCCCGCTCGCCGCACCCCAAATCCACAGGGCCATCCCCATCCAGATCCATCCGTCGATGCTGCGCCGCCAGCCCACCCGCATCGAGCTCCGCAGCTCCGACCGCGACGAGCTCGAGGAGCACCTCCGCTCCAAGGCCGCCGCCGCCAAATCCGCCGCCGAGTCCACGCCCCTCTCAACCCCGCGCCCCTCCAACCCCATCCCCAACCCGCTCCTCCGCCTCCTCCACCCGCCCTCCGACGCCGCGCCCTCCAAGGCCCAGCGCATCGGCCTCC